TAGGGGTTTCTTTAATGTTCCCTAGGCTTCTAGGACCAGCAAATCCTATAGTTACTGAAGGACTCTTAACACATGAGCAGTCAGCAGATTTTTCATTTTCCTAATATTGATTGCGAGTGAAAATTTAAAAAATCTGAAGCTGGTTTCTGCAAACTTCTATCATTAAGCACAAGTGAAACGGTCTTTTCTAAATTGTCATCTTTTTCACAATACAGCTGAAATTTGCAGACATATCCAGTATTTACCTCAGATATACTCTGACTAGCATTCCATACTTTGTATTTTTATTCGGATTATAACCCGAATATATATTATTCAGAAACAGAATTTGCAAAGACATAAATTCATGTCAGCAGCAACCAAGAACAGAATTTGGAATGACGTAATTTCATGTCAGTGATTGCAAATGAGTTAAGTTTAATGTAAACATTAACTTCTGACATGTAAGGAAAATACCAAGAAGTTCTGTTCCACTTATACCTGTGTAAAACATTGTATAACTTTTTATCTCTATTGGTAATTTCCTAAAAGTTTACGAGATACTGTCAGTTCTTGAATGCTTCTCCATCATTCCTCTCTCCCTGTGTTTCTCTCAGCTGCTCTTGTTTCCTTATTCCCAAACTAAGCATTACAACCAGAGTCCTTTGCTGTTGCTGGATAGTGAGATTTCCATTCCCTGTCCCTAATTTTTCAAATGAACAAAATCCTTCAGAAAACAATTGCTATAACTTAACTTTTAGTTAGTAAATCCTACTGGTACATGTTCAGTTGATGCAGTTTCCAATAGCAGAATTGAGTGCTTTGGACATGAAGGCAGTACAACTATTTTTTCCTGTCTTTCCTAGTGTCCGATAGACCGTGTCCTTCATTATTCTGAGTAATAGTGTTTACGTAATTGAACGAGGGCACGGGCTTTAGTTACACTTGCCCTTTCAAGGCACCCAGAGGAAGAGACTGGCTAGCAGTGCACAGAATCGCCCTTACACTGGCCGAGGGGTTGTTTGTATGTTTCCAGAGTCTCATATCTGCTGCCTAGGCAGTCCCTGTAAGGTGGAGCAAAGGGAGAGGAGCTTCCGGGCCCAGGTGCTGAGGCCGAGACAGAGCTATGCCCAGCTCTCCCTATAGAGGTCTCCCTCTGCCTAATTTCTGACTTGGAACCGGGCCCCTTACCCAGGGCAGGAACTTCCCTGCTGGAAGGGACAGCTCTAATGGCTTAATGTAAATTGAACATGTGTCATTAGTCTAGGATGCCAGATGGCTGAGGGTTCAGCTGCCTGCCAGGGTAAGTGGGTGGAGCCAGGAAAATGAAAGTGGGGGGAGGGGAGGGGATGGCTACAACTCATGTTATTTTTAAAGCACTCATAGAAATATATAGTATTGGCAAGCTTCCTCCCTATCCCAGTAGTATTTTTTTTCCCCCAGCTTGACCCTCCTCCCTGGGGCTTACACTGGGGGGGAAAAATCAATGTTCTTTATTAGTTGCCCCAGCAACCATAGAAGAGTGATTGTAAGACTGGCTTGAAGAGTCTTTCTGTTTTAAAGAGGGATGTAAAATGAAGCCTGCTTCCATCATGAGCAATAAATGCTGACAAGTTCATTGTATCTTCATCGCAAAGCCAGGCCTGCCCAGTGACCTTTGAATGGGAAGGAACTAAGGAAAGTTAATGCTTTCTGAGGGCATGTATTTTGTTGTAATGTTTGTAAGAAGCTGGTCTGAGAAGGGAGGTTGCTTCCTGGAAGACCTTTATAATTCAAGGCAGAGTGAAAGCCAGATTTCCAGGGTAGTTGGGAGGCTTTGCCCCAAACTGCCCATCCCACTCTGCTCTCTCCTTTGATCCTCATTTTAGAACCTGGAGAAGAGGCTTTGGGAAGTGCCCTGCCCTCTGGTGCTCCCCACTCTTATTAACTGCCTCCCCTACTCTTTTCTTCCAGTGAGTCTGCAGCCCTTTGAACTTAATAAAGGAGAGGAATCATAATTCACTAACAACTCAGTTTAATTGGATTTCAGACTTCTGGAAGCTTGTGATATGGGGATATTTGTGTTTTTCTTCTTTCTCTGTGGACAAAGCTCTGTTTTGTTTGTCTTACCACCCGCCAGGTCCAACTCTGGAGAGACTGATCGGCATTCCTTCAGAAAAGCTGCCTTGGCCCCTCCAGGTTTTGGAGGATACATTAATTCGTTTTGTGAACATTAAATTTGTGAGTGCGGTTTTAACCTAGAAATGCTGAAAGAGAAATAAATCTCTTTAGGAAGTGACTGAAAGTCCAGCTAAAAGTTAGCTTGCCTCTGGGGCAGTAGTGCAGGATTACTACAGAGTCCATTCTAGCTTTCAGTCTTTTGGCTTCTGCATACAGTGTAAGACTTTGTTTTCTTCTGTAAAGACCCAGATAGGTCTTATTTGCTGGAGTGTTCCAGTGAAGTCATCTGCTATTAACTTCGAGATGGGCAGAAGGCAGATTCCCCAACATTTCTTCCCTGTGGGATCTGATTGATCTTTATGGCGTGGTGGGAGGCCTCTTGCTGACTCTGGCCTGAGAGACCTTGAAGAGTATAAGATTTGAGATCATGCTATAAGACAGTTTTGGATAAATAATAGCATGTTGCTTTTTAGCAATAGAAGTTTTCAGGTCAAAATTACTTCTTTTTTTTTTTTTTTTTAAAGAAAAATAGTCTCACTCTGTTGCCGAGGCTAGAGTGCAGTACATGCTCATGACTCACTGCAGCCTCAACTTCTTAGGCTCAAGTGATCCTTCTGCCTCAGCTTCTTGAGTAGCTGGGACTATAGGTGCATGCTACCATGCCTGGCTAATTCTTTGATTTTTTTTTTTTGTTGTTGTTATTGAGATGAGATTTCAGTATATTGCCTAGGCTGGTCACAAACTCCTGGGCTCAAGTAATCCTTCCACCTCGGCCTTCCAAAGTGCTGGGATTATAGGCATGAGTCACTGTGCCTTGCCCCTAGATTATTTCTTAATCTTTTCAGTTTAACCATCTATTTGATCTTTGCAGTATGTACCTTTTAAAAGAATGCTTAGTGGTTATAAAAGTAGTGTTTGCATCTTGTTGGAATACTGCCAGCTCTTATCAGTGAGGCTGCTCACATTATTTGGAAATAATTTCTTGATTAATTTCTTCTTCATCAAGGCCTCCTGGTTTTTCACAGAAAATATAGAAGGAATATTGCCACTTTGGTTGGGAACGTTTAGATGGGAAACGAGGTGGACAGTGTTGGCATGTTCTACACAGACTCAAGCCTTTGTGCTCTTAATCTCCCTTGGAAAGAGGCCCAGAATTCAAAGCAGGAGGGCACTGAACATTGCCAGCTTTGTTTGAGAAGCATTTCAATGTGACGTTTGTGTCTTGAGAACCCACGAAATGTTTCACTGGCAGAGATTGAGGTCGCGTCTAGCCCAGCATTCTGTCTCTGACAATAGACACCAAAAGATGTTTTGTGGGAAAGCATTCTTCATGCTGGCAGCCTCTTGGGCTTTGTGCGGTGCCCCAGCATCTCTGGCTTTTCATAGTCTGTGGTGGATATGTTATCCAGAGATTTTTTAAAAACTCTCCTTGAACCTATTTGTATGTGCCAACTCTTAGGGTGACACATTCCAGAGATCAGCAAATATTTGAATGCTTTGTTTGTGCCTAGCATAGTACTAAGCATTGTAGAAGATCCAAATGATGCTTAATAACTAATCCGTACTCTTGCTTGAGTTTATTCTTTTTAAAGGTGACAGAACTTAGTCTCAGTTGTAGAAAGAGTGGATAGTAATATCAGATGTCACCTGGAGAACACCAGGCACACCATAAAACTCACATATTAATAATCTGTGTTGAAAAATACAACTGTAAGACTGACCACTGTGTTCTTTCCCTATAGGCAAGTCTAATAAAAAGCCAAATTCTAATCAGAAGGCTGATTAGTGAACAAGGGGAGCTTTAGTCAGTATGATTGAGTCGACTATGACAGCCCAGTGCTGCCGTTTTCACAGTACCTAGAAAAAGACCACACGGTTGTCTTTCTGATGTGTCCTGTTCTAAACCTGATTGACATTTTTCACGTGCTAATACATTCAACCCTAACAGTCCAGCACTGTTTTGAAAATACCTTTGCATGTCATATCTCTGCTCTGTCCATATTAAGTGCCTAAGAGTTTAATGCTTGAAGATTACTGTTCTTTCCTAAATATCTTGAGAGGAGGAACCCATATTGAATATTGGTTCCTCCCCATCCTCTACCTCCTACATATGCAGCAACAGTACAAAACAATGTAGGATGAAGAGCTAAATTATGTAGTTTAGACAACATGAGCTTAGAAAACAAATCCGAGGAAAAAGAGGTCGATGTGGGCTGAAAATGCTGAAGGCGTCTGTGTGTGGCACAGATGGGACTTGAATTCACACTTGCAAAAGTAGAAAATAAGGCAAAAGAAGGAAGCATTAAGTAGGAGTAAATCTGGGGAGGAATGCCTTCACTTTATGGTTGCCACCCTCCTTCTCAGTGGCACTCAGCTTTTCCTTGATGTTTCTGGCCAGAGAAATACATGAGGTGATGGCAAGCCTGGTAAATCCTGAGCCACCTGCTACTTAGGATCTGTCATTTGCAGTTCCTGGGTGCTAGTGTCCATGTGTGTGAAACAGTACCACCTACCTTTTTATTTTTATTGTTATTGTGGAGTTGAGAGATGTATATGAACATTCCTAGTGCATAGCAGGCACTCAGTAAATGTTAGCTGAACTTATATTGAGTTGATTTCTTCGGGAAGTAATTTATCTGAAAATTTACAGATTGCCAGGTTACCTGGGATTCCTGTGGTGGTTGATGGGACCCTGTGTAGAGTGGTAATAGCATGGCTGACTTTATAGCTAAACTTCAGCATGTTATATCACAGACTTCTGCGTTATGCCCCTTGGGCTACTGTGGTTTTTCTTAAATGGTTCCTTTCAGCCTTGCTATCAAATAGTTCAGTACTAACTAATTGAATTTGCTTCCTTGTAGGTGCGGAATGGCCACATCAAAAGAATAACTGATAATGACATCCAGTCCCTGGTGCTAGAAATTGAAGGGACAAATGTCAGGTGGGTTGCCAACTCTGTTCTTCCAGAGACATCGTATACCAGGCCTTGGTCTCCTCATCTGTAAAATGGAGGTGATAACAGTATATTTTCCTTACAGGGTTATTGTGAGGACTAAGTAAGTGAATCTGTAAAAAACACTTAGAACCATGCTTAGTACATAGTAAGCACTGTGCAAGTATTAGTTTATTATTAGTATTTGACCTAAGTGTGTGCTGGGGGAGAGTAATGGCGGTGTTGTATATCCAGTGGGTGGCCAGTGTGGTTTTCAGTGCCTCGGTGGTCTTAGCTTTGGTTTTCTATCATTTGATGGTTCTCTTGAACCAGAATTAAAATCTTTTCTCACTAGAACAACTTTCTAGATCCACTGGTCTGGCTCTGTTTTTCATATATTTTATTGTTGATGTCTAGTCCTGTGTTAAGCTTTTGTTTCTGAGACCGGCATTTTTAAAAAGCATCAGCTGACTTAAGCACTGAGGGATTCATTGGGTGATGTGTCTGAATCATTTAGATCTGCTTTCCAGTTTTTCCTCTTGGACCATGTGTTCTTGTTGTATATACCACAAAGGAAGAAAGACAAGTAGTATATTTATTGGTATTTCCTCTCTCCACAGCACCACATATATCACATGTCCTGCAGACCCTAAGAAGACACTGGGAATTAAACTTCCCTTCCTTGTCATGATTATCAAAAACCTGAAGAAATATTTTACCTTTGAAGTACAGGTTAGTATGTCCACATGTATGTGTTCACACTTAGCTATACCAAAGTGATGTCTTTTCAACTTACAGTAAAAAGGAGCCCTACAAAAGCATCTTTATCCTTTTATATGTCTACTTTTCTCCCTCTGTTGTAAGCTCAATGTAGTCCTGTTATTATGACATAAGTTCGGAATTAGTAATTAAAATTTAGTGCCAGTCTTTAAGAAAAAGTAAGCACCCAGAAAACCTAATCAGTAGCTACAAGACTTCGGAACTTGAGAGTCAGCTTAGTGACCATTTGGGGAGTAATTATTTAATACTGGGTTATTTTTGTAATTTTGATTTTTCAAAGGGAAAAACGTTTATGAAATCATTCTATGGACTGAGAGCCTGCTGGGTGTGTCATATGTCATAAGCAGCTGGTGTTGTCTTGGCAACAAACAAGATAAACTTGCTACTTCCGGACCATCTGTGTCCAGTGGATGACCTGTGTCTGGTCTGTTTATTCTCCTGTGGGTCTCAGCCTTGGGAAACCAGGCTGTGGAAGCTCAGGTCCTTGTCTTTAAAGAGTGTTTGCTTCTTCCGAGATGAAGTTAATGTGACTCTTCCCTATATTTCACAGGTATTAGATGACAAGAATGTACGTCGGCGGTTTCGGGCAAGTAATTACCAGAGCACCACCCGGGTCAAACCCTTCATCTGTACCATGCCCATGCGGCTAGATGACGGCTGGAACCAGATTCAGTTCAACTTGTCAGACTTCACCCGGCGAGCATATGGCACAAATTATATTGAAACCCTAAGAGTGCAGGTACTGCTCCTTTTCCAGACAGAGCCCCAAACTGGGGACATAGGGGTGTCTGATACTGGTTTGTGGCTCATGTAACAGAAGAGTGTGGGCTTCTGGCTAAAGTTCCTAAGTCACTGTCCAAGGAGCTTTGGCATCAAAACGGTGCAGGAAATATTCAGGAATCTACTCAGACATAGTGGGTGAATAAGCAAAATCTCCCTCTTGCCAGAATCTACCCGTAAGGCAAGCCGAGGAGATGCCATGGAGGTGAAGTTTCTACAGTGTCACAAGAGGGCCTCTAACAGAATCAGAAATTAGAGGGAAAACCATCCTGTTCAGCCTCTCAAAATAAGTCTTGCCTCCCTAGATCCATGCAAACTGTCGTATCCGACGGGTTTACTTCTCAGACAGACTCTACTCAGAAGACGAACTGCCAGCAGAGTTCAAACTGTACCTGCCAGTTCAGAACAAGGCAAAGGTAAGCCAGCCTCGCTCAAGGGACAGCCAGGGAGTTGGGGGAGATGTGTTCCTGGAAGTGCTCTAGTTTAAGGCTCAGCTGCAGAGCCCCCTCTGTTGTCACTTTGGAGGACCTTTAGATCATAAGATCTTAGGTCTTCTTCCAGCATCAACACTGAATCAGGAATGATCCTGGGAAATACTGTTGTCTCCACCTTCACATGGTGATCTTGCCCCTTCTGAGGGTCATCCTGCTGCTTCCTGCTCACAGCACTTCTTTGAAGGATGTCCTCCATCTTAACCTGATTATCAGTCTAAAGTTATTGTGGATTGGTCCCCTCTACCACAGCGGTGGGTGCCTGCGTGCCTGCCTGCTGTGGACATGAATGCATTTCCACAGGCCAGAGTCCACCGGAGTGTCACCAGAGGTAGGAAGCCAGTGGCACTAGCCATCTCTTTTCGAACAACTTAAACTGATGCCTCTTTTCCGTTTTTTCCTCCAGCAATAACTGGAATGCAACTCAAGGGACCGACCCTGGATGTGACTCTTAACTTAAGGAAACTGTCTAGAGGACAATACAAAAACATATTTATATTAATTCACTCTGCTATACTTTTATTTACTACCTAGTGTCCCTTGTCATGGACACCAGTGACCATGCCATAACTCTGTAATTGCGTTGTAAGTACAGTGGGAATAAGCAGTCTTGCGCGTGATACGTGAATGCTAGAGTTTATCCTGCTGCCTGCCCCAGGGTGGGGGAGATCATTTACCATGAACTTACAGAATTAAAGATGTCCCCTAAGGCAATTTCAGACCACTGTTTCTTCCTACGGTTATTCTTTGTTTTATATATTATCTAAATATATGTATATGCTGTGTAATACTCATAATCTGGAAATGAATAAAATGTTATATTCTTGGTTTGTAAGTGTGTTCTTAGTTTAGCTTTTTTAATGGTGACGTTTTTCTTTGTGATGTGAAAAGAGAACTATTTGCTGTGAACATCCCATACACTTCATGCTGTGAAATATCTGGCACTGAGCATGTAAAGAACAAGGGAGATCTATACAGTTGACCCTTGAACAACACGGGTCTGAACTACAGGTCCACTTATGGACAGTTTCTTCCACCTCTGCCACTCCTGAGACAGCAAAACCAACCCCTTCTCATCCTCCTCTTCAGCCTACTCCACGTTATGGTGAGGATGAAGACTTTTATGATGATCCACTTCCACTCGATAGTAAATATATTTTCTCTTCCTTATGATTTTCTTAATAATATTTCTCTAGCTTACTTTATTGTAAGAATACAGTATATAATGCATCTAACATACAAAATATGAATTGACCACTGTTCATGTTATTGGTAAGACTTCCGCTCAACAGGTGGCTAGTAGTTAAATTTTTGGGGAGTCAAAAGTTATAGTTGAAAGATTTTCAGTTGCTTGGGGGGGTTGGTGTCTCTAACTCCCGAGTTGTTCAAGAGTCAACTGTATATACTGATTTGGAACAGCTTTTAAGATAAACTAAATGGGGGAAAAATAGTATATGAACAGTAGAATCAACTATGGGTTGGGTCCTAAGTTGGCTTAAGACAAAATGGCATATGGTCTAAATTGTTCTTGAACACCGTTAAGAAGGATTGTATTAGAGCCTCACATGTTTTCTCAAGTAATCAACACATCTTGCATACTCAGCATTGGAGCAGTTCACCATTTCCCTGTTTGAGCTCCAATGAAGTACTTGCCTTAAATATAGGGACTTGAAGGAAATTGTTTCTTTTTTTTCTTTTTTGAGTTGGAGTCTCACTCTGTTACCCAGACTGGAGTGCAGTGGCATGCGCCTGGCCACCGCAGCCTCGACTTGCTGGGCTCCGGCGATCCTTCCACCTCAGCCATCCAAGTAGCTGGAACTACAGGCGCGTGCTACCACGCCCGGCTAATTTTTGATTTATTGTAGAGATGTCTTGCCAGGTTGCCCAGGCGGGTCTCGAACCCGCAGGCTCAGGTAGTCCACTCACCTAGGCCTCCCAAATTGCTGGGATTACAGGCTGAGCCACCGAGCCCGGCTGGAAATTGTTTCTTAAGACACTAGAATCACATGAGGGAACTGAAACCTTATGCCACTTTCCCCACTTGTGCTTATTCTGGAGCAGATGCGTGTGAAGTAGAATAGCACTGTCATATTGCTTTTTTTTTTTTTTTTTTTTTTGGCCAGGCACAAATAGATAAATGTGCAAAGGTTAAGCACTTTTATGTGCTACAACTCTACCATATGTAACTTTCCTGTTGCATAAAGTAACATGAGAAGAGCCTATCTAAACATAGATGATCTTGAAGGACACATAAGAAATGGTACGGTGATTACATCTGGGCAGAATGGTGGGGGTTTTTTTTTATCACTTGTTTACTATCTTGTACTGTAACAATTTTTTTTTTTTTTTTTGGAAAGGTAATGTTTGTGTAATAAAAATTTTAAAAGTCAAAGAGCAAAAGGTCATTCCAGATACTGTGCCCACCCCAGTCACTCGCCCTGGATTTGGTTTCATTCCACAGGAATAAGACTGGAATTGTGGGCAGCTGCTATTTAGACTTTGGTTACAGGTAAAATCACCAAGTTCTGAGATTTGTCATTGCCACTGCTGCCTTCTGAGAAGCTAAATGACAAGCACACTTGTCCCATGTCCATGTCCTCCAGAGGTGCTCTAGGTCAGCATGGCCTAGTCTCTGAGGTTGGGAGTGGAGGGAGTGGTGCTCCATACTGCCTTGTGTGACAGTCACTGAGGATTCATTTCTCACAGTTGTCAAGCAGCTGACGCTCAGGTGGGCTCAGTCAAGACCGCTTTTTCCTTCCTCTCCGGGCTAACCAGGCTAGCGCCCCCTTTCCCACAGGTTTGTCCCTCTCCTTTGAGAGTCCCTAGTTGTTCAGCAGGGCAGAGCATCCCTCAGCCCAGGTGACAGACTGCTCTCGCGGGACCAACCCCAGTCAGATCTGAACGTTGTCCTGCTTCCCTGTCCTTAACATGCTGGCGTTCACACTAGCAGGGCTCTGGGCCTGACTCCCTTGCTTTTGGGGTTAAGGCAGGAATTCTCAGAAGTGAATGAGGGTGGCCAGTGACTTCGACAGAGCTGCTTGTCTCTGGTCACTAGTGAAATCTTCCCTCCAATCTGGAGTCTATTACGGGATAAAAGATGCTTTTGTGATGGCGAGAAAACCCGGGTTAACTTTTCATCTCTTCTTGGTGCCAGGATACCAGCGAAATGCTCCTGGAAGTTCGGAGAAGTACAGTGAGGCTCTCTCCTCACACAGAGCTGCATTCACCCTGAGGCACTTGTCAGACTATGTATGGGGATTACCTCACCGCCCTCTTTGGGCTGGCAGGCAGCAGCTGCTGACTCCCAGATGCCTCCCATATCCATTCAAAAGGAAGTGAGGGGCGTCAAGGGGGGTGGGGTGTGTTATCTAAGCTGGCCCCGGGCCAGTGTGAATAGCAGTATCCACTCTGCGGCCCCTCGCCTTCAGCTTTCCAGCTCACCAGGAGGAGGACAGTACCAGTTGTGAGGCCAAGGGAAGAAGAAAGGGAGGGACAGGCTGCTGTGGCTGAGGCCTCCCTCATGGAGTGGGCCAGGGTGATCTTGGGTCATGGTAATTGGAGCAAACAGAATCGCATTACCCAGCTCCTTGGAAGTCATGGCGTGTCTTAGAAGGAATTGCTTTCTAAATGAGAGAGTGTTGGTTAATTGGCGTGAACTTGAAGGACTAGCTTGCAACCGTTCCCAAAAGGGATCCTGAGGGAGAGCAGATTGACTGTGGCCCTTACGGGGCGGTTGATGGCTTCCTCTACTGCCAGGCTAGAAGACTGGCCAGCACCTGACCAACCTGATGCTGGCCTGGGGCATTTCTTTTTCTCTCCTTTTCTTTTTTGAGTCAGAGTCATTCTGTCGCCCAGGCTGGAGTGCAATGGCATGATCACAGCTCACTGCAGCCTCATGGGCTCAGGCACAGCCTCCCAAGCAGCTGGGAGTACAGGCATGCACCACCACGCCTGGTTAATTTTTTGATTTTTTTGTAGCAAGGAAGTCTCACTATGTTTCCCAGGCTGGTCTTGAACTCCTGGGCTCAAGCAATCCTCCCACCTAAACCTCCCAAAGTTCTGCGATTACGAGTATAAGCCACTGTGCCTGGCCTGAGGCATTTCTGAGGGGTGCAAGTATGCCAGAGAACAACCCCCAAACTCATTTCCCAGGCACCTCAGTGGCTTTGGCCAAAAGCCTTGTCAGGAAATTTACTGAAAAATATCTTGGAGCTTTTATCTGCATCCTGGCCCCCTCATTTTATTGATGAGACGCCCCAGCCCAGCAAGAGATAGGCTAGTCCCCTAGTAGCAACCGGATGGTACGAGGACATATTTCACCTGGTTGGAGTCATATGCCCTCCCTGAACTCCCTTGTGTTGGCGTTTGCTGCTTCAAGGACTACAGTCAGCCCTGCCTTGGCGTTGAGGACCGGCCTAGGTCATCACTATGTGGTCGGATATTAGCTGAAAGTGTCCGGATGTATTACTAGAATATCGTTGTCCTTTCTTCCTGTACCTGGTCTTGCAGCACGATCAGCCTCCCGAGTTTCCTGATCCCTGTTGTTCGTGTTCTCCTAGGAGTCTGGGAAAGCCTGGTACTAAGGGTGACTCCTAAGGAAGGTGATGCAGATGGCACATCATTTGGGGCAGTGCTTTCCAGGTGGCAGCACGCTTCATACCCATGCTCAGGATCCTGTCTGCAAGGTCAGGTGTAGTGGCCACCTCCATCCACAGACAAGCACGGAAGTTCAAGGGTTCACAGGGCTGCCTAGCTCACAGGGGCCAGGGCCAAGAAGAAAGCCCAGGCTCTCCTGCTGGAAGGACACACTCCTGCTGCTTTCTACGCTGAGCACACAAAGCACCTGCTCATGAAGCATCTAGAATAGACTCGATGGGGGACACCACTGTGGAAAGCTCCCTGCGCCTTTCCCACAGGAAGATGAATCTGCTGAATGTTAGCTCATTTATTCAGCTGATGTTGCTGTGCCAGGCCCTAGTCATGTTTTAGTTAAGTAAAATATGCCAGGTGGAGATTTGGCTTTGTGCAGGTAGCCACCGTCATAGGGTGAGTTCTAGAAGAGAGGTGAAACTGTGCTGTAGGGGGAAGAGAACGTAGGACTGGGGGTTTACAGATGGTTGAATCACATTAGTAGCTAATTCTTACAGAAAGCTCTTGGTGGGCAGCGTTTTAAGCACTTTACATACATTATTTTACTGAATGATTATAATACTATAATTCCCATTTATAGATGAGGTAACCAAGGCACAAAGATTAATGTACCCAAGGTCGTTCTGTGATACCCCTCATGGTAGAGGCAGGTTTCAAACTCAGGCTCTTTTACCCCAGTGCTGGGCACCTGAACCACTCAACCATTTTGACCTGTTGTTTCCTCCTCAGCAAAATTAGCCTGATGATAGAACACGTGAAACTTACCTCAGAGCTGGGCCGGAAGCAATGGCCGTGGACAATAGATCACATCATTTGTGTTGTCTTCATACAATAGAATACTGCACAGCAACAAAAAGGAGCAACAAATGTCTCAATATGTGTTTTGCATCAACCAGAGAGAACTTGGCAGATGACTGAAATTTAAACAGTAAGAATAAATGCACAATTTTGTAATAAATAAATTCTGGGGTTTTTGGGTCCCCCTATATTGTTCTGGGATACAGGCAAGGACTGAATATCTTAACACTCAGGAGAGCGCTTTTCCTGAGGGTGGGGTGAGGGGGTGGGGACATGAGCTGTGACAGGGGCACTTCAGGAGGTTCCCAAGCATCGGCAGTGCTGTTTCTTAACCTGAGTTGTGTTTACACATGGATGGTTAAGGTTATTGTGTAAATTACAACTATA